TGCCAGGATCCCACCACCCAAGACTATCTCCAGGCCCGTGTGACTCGCCTGAGTGTCTGCCCGCCTGCCATTGCCAAGTTTGGCCGTGCCTTTACTGCTGGATTGCCCCAGCGTAGCCAGCCGCAGGCACAGGTCCCTCAGCCCGTGTTCACCGAGGTATGCTGGTCCTAGGTTTGCTTCCCATTGCATCTAGAAGAAATGAGACAGCAGGGTCTTCTGGGGAGGGGGTGGGGCGGGGCACCACTGACTGCTCAGCCAGGGCAGTTCTGTAAATTTGTTCCTAGGCTCAGAACGGAGCCATGGTCAGGACGAATTCCCACTAGCCTGGCTTCCAAGAGGGCAGTGCCTGACCAGGGCCAACTTAGTCCTTTGCAATGAGAAATGGAGCTGCCAAAAGGAAAAAAGAATGCCAGCATCAGTCCACGGTCTCCCTGTGAAATCCGCAGGGCAAGTTTATGGGATGCTGGCTGAAGAGTGAATCTGAGAAAAGGAGGCCAAGCATCGTGAGGGATGATGAGGCCTAATGAGTCCACTGCCCCAGCTGAGCACCCTGTCCGGTGGCCAGTTGGAGTCGGGGCTTGGTTCACAGACTTTCTTCACAGACTTTCTTCTCTTGAGCGGGGCTAGGTAAAAACAACCAGTTCTTCCCCCTGAACATGTTAATTGTTTTCCTGTTCCACTATGACCTCTGTCCTTGGGTGAACACCATCCTTGATCACATATGGCGATACTATTTGATTCTATTAACTGTCTACTGGCTTCCTGAAATGCAATTAATCTGTTTTGCCTCTCTGAGATGATCCAAGTCATATTCAGTTTAATTCAATTCAATATGACAGATGGTTACTGTGCACCTACTACGTGCTAGGCCTGCCTAAGATTTTCCAGGTCATATTAAATTCAGTCTCTTCAATTAAGTTTAATTTGACAAGTATTTAGTGAGCTAGGCCCTGTCCTAGATCCCAGGGCTGCAGTGGTAGACATTATACATACAGCATTCATCCCGTAATCTAGTTAGGGGAGCTAGACAGGTAAAAAAGCAATTACAAAACCGTGTAGAAGGGTTAAGATGGTGAAGTATGAGGTGCCACTGGGGAGTCATAGGAAAAGCATCTCATTTACATTTCTTTTTTTTTTTTAATTTTTTAATTTATTTTTTGACAGAGAGATACAGCGAGAGAGGGAACACAAGCAGGGGGAGTGGGAGAGGGAGAAGCAGACTCCCCACTGAGCAGAGAGCTCGATGTGGGGCTAGATCCCAGGACCCTGGGATCATGACCTGAGCTGAAGGCAGATGCTTAACGACTGAGCCACCCAAGAGCCCCTCATTTACATTTCTAGAGGGCTTCCTGGAAGAAGTGATGTCTGCTCTGAGGCCTGAAAGATCAATAGGAGTAGGGGGAAGCGTGCACATGCGTTTGTGTGTGTTTGTGAATGCGTGTGCATGTGTGTGTGTTTGTGCGTCTGTGTGTGTGCATGGACGCATATGTGGGTGTGTGTGGGGGGCACAGCGGAGACAAGATTAGGAGGGTACTGGGGTGAGGCTAGGAAAGTGAGCAGGGGTGAAAAACGGCAAGGTCTCCTAGCCCAGTTAAGGAGTTAGGACTTTGTCCTCATAACAAGAGGAAGCTATTTGAAAAGTTTTAAGCAGGTGGCGAAGTAATCCTATTTGTGGTTTAGGAAGATCACTCTGGAAGTGAAGGCTTTGGGGGATTTCCAATATCCTCTACTAATACTTTTATAGATACCTGTCTCCATTTCTGCTTACATATGATTAAATTTTCTCCATGAATTATGGATTATCTAGTTTATTTCATCCATTATTTCCAAGTTTCTGATGGGCTGGGGTAGGGGTTGGGGAACACTCTTTGTCACCCCATGAACTCAATTCCCTCTCTTTTTCTGCCCCGTGTTGCTAGAAATAAACCATAATGCCCCACCCCAGAGCCTAGTAATAAAATACTGGAATAATGCCACACAGAAAAAGAGGTATTTTCATTAGCGTTAAAACACTTTTTTGGAGGGAGCAAAATGGCCATAAAGATGGCTTTAAAAGTAAGAATTTTTAACTCTGTATTTGGTTGTTTGGGTTACTAAATGATTTCTCTATTACGAGGGAGACTGATGTGTGAGTGACGGAGACATCATTGATCACTTCATTAATGGAAAAGGCTCTGGGGAAGGACAGAGATAATCCTGTTAGGGAAATCAGCATGTTCTAATTGACTTAGAAGTAGTGGGGGCAGAGGGCTCCATTTCTTCTCCTTCACTTGCTGTCATCGGATTGAGGGCAAGCAACGCTCTGCAGTTCTCGCCTGAGACTAGGTTTTCCGTCACCAAGGGGAGAAAGAGGGACCTGATGCTGGCCTCTTGTGCTGCCATGACTGTCTATCTGGGGCTTCCCGGGTGAAGTGTGGGTAAGGAGCAAAACGGAACTTCCTGATACTTACAGAGTTACTCTTCACTTCAGTCTGGGTTTAACACATGAGGAATGCTTTGCCTAGATTTTCCATCTTTTATCACTTACTAGCTATTAAAAAGTGCACATGTTGTGTGCATGATGTATGTGGATAACAAAGGATACAGCCCCTGATAGGGCTAGATCCTGACAACTCTAGAAAACAGCTCAGTTTGCCCTTGTGACTCCTCAGCCTCCTTGGCCGTGTGAGCCTCCCTCTGTGGGCTTCTCTTCCTTCCTCCCATTGCTTTCATGGGATTCCCTCCCTCCTTTCTTCCCCTCCCTCCCTCCCTCCTTTCCTTCCTTCCTAACTTCCTTCCTTTCTTCCTTCCTGCCTGCCTTCCTTCCTTCCTTTTTTCCCTCCCTCCCTCCCTCCCTCCCTCCCTTCCTTCCTTCCTTCCAGGAAGGGTTAATAACTTGCAACTTAAACCCATTCCATAAACATGAGTACCAGTGAGACCTAAAAAATAAGTGAGATCCTGTACCTTAGAAGGCAAGCCATAAATAGTGATTCTATAATGTGGAAAGTTCTGAGGGTTCTAAGAGAGCAGGAGAAAGTGCTTACATTCATTGAGCAACTTCTAGTGGCTACCTACTCGCTGTACATTATTTCTTTTAATCCTTATGAAAACCTTCTGAGGTAGGAATTTTAATCCCCATTGTATTCGTGAGAAGATGATGTTCAGGGGACGCAAATAACTTGTTCAATGTCACAAAGTTCAGCTATGGCCCCAGGTCCATTTGACTCTGATACTCATGTTTATTTTACTGGTGTTTCAAAGTATAGAGAGAATATATCCAGGTTTTGCTGGGGGAGAGGGACTATGGGTAAAGGCTTCACAAAGGGGTAATACTGGAGATGGGCACTGAAGAGTAGGGTACTATTTTAGTATTTGAAAACTGGGATTTCGTAGTGAGATAAGCTTTTTAGTCAGAGAGAGGAGAAACATACAAGGAAACTTTTCACATGCATGCTAAGTGAGAGAAAGTTTCAAGTAGAGACTTCTGCTCTCCAAATAGGGTTTCTGGACCATAGCAAGATGTGTTGGGGGGGAAAAAAACAGGCTTTGAAGCCTGGCTTCAAGCCCTAGCTTCACCGTTCTTTGACTTTCTCGTGTGATCTTTGGCAAAAATAACCACTCAGAGGCTCAGCTTCTGCATCTGTCAAATGGGAATAGTGATATCTATAGTAATATCTATGAAGATTGAAGGAGCAGATGTTTATAAGGTGCCTGGCACATGGCAGGCCCTCAGTCAATATTAGCAATTCTTAAGATAAACAGCTACCCTTTGGGGTCCAAGTCACTGGGGTCAACCAGGAGAAAGAAGTGAGGGCATTCCCAGACTCAGCCTGGATTTGGATGACGGCTCTCAGAAGCAAACACAGCTCCCTCTAATGACACCCCACTTGGCCATGTCTGGGAGCATAACCATTCCCATCTTTTATTGTATAGTTAGCAAAGCTTTTATAGGCTTCTGTTTCCTAGGAAGGCAATTTTTGAAGTGTTTATTATTTCTGGTTCTTACTCAGGTGCTTGCTCCCTCCTCTTTGCTCCATTGGATGATGGGGAACGTTAGAACATTTTGGTCCACTGAGGCCAATTTGGTATGTGCAGCAGAAGGCCTGTGATGTTCGCGAGCCAAGAAGTCTGAGGAAACAGGTCTGTGGACATGGGAAGATGCAGCCTCATAAGAATCCTGTACTGGCGCCCTGAGCCCATGGTCTCAGGCCACGGAGTCAATGGAGTGGAAGGTGAGGCAAGCACTCACTGTACAAACTGCAGACAGGAAATGTTACCCAGAAGATCAATTTCTTTCCCCCAGCACCAAAACTTACAGGAGAACAATTCTTTGCAATACTGCAAACCCAGAGCGTGTGTCTCTCCAAACCCTTCCACTGAAGCTGTGGCTTAAGTACGTGATCTGCCCCCTCCTCACTCTCTTATCCGACCTCGTCTTCTACTCTTCTCCCTTTGATCTGCTGGGCTCCAGCCCCATTCATCGCTCTGCTTTTCTAGAACATTCCAGTCCTGCCCTTGCCATAGGGCCTTTGCTCTAGCTTTTCCTTCTGCCCAGAATGTTCTTTCCTGACTGCCCTGTTTAATAATGCTCCCTCATACCCTGCTTTCATGGGATTCCCTCCCTTCTTTATATGGAAATAGGGCCTTTGCAGATGTTAAATCTATCTTCCTTACCTGCTTCATTTTTCCAGAGCACTTATTTCTAAGTTATAATGTTAGTTACATAACTTAGTTATCATCCTAACTAAGTTAGAACGTTATTTTGGCATTGTTATGGATTGCATTTACTTGCCTCCCCCAAATTCATATGTTGAAGTCCTAACCCCCAGTACCTCAGAATGTGACCTTATTTGGAGGTAGGGTCTTTACAGAGGTAACCAAGTTCAAGTGAGGTCATTAGGATGGGCCCTAACCCGATATGACAGGTGTCCTTACACAAAGGGAAAACATAAGAAGTAAACATAGAGATACACACAGAAAGAAGACAGTGTGAAGACACGCAGAGAGAAGACAGCCATCTACAAGCCAAGGACAGAGGCCTGGAACAGACTCTTCCCTGAGGGCCCTCCAAAGGAACCAATCCTGCTAACACCTGGATCTCAGACCCCCAGCCTCCAGGTGAGACAGTACATTTTTGTCGTCTAACCCACTGGATTTGTGGTAGTTCAGCCCTGGCAAACTAATATACGTTCTCTGTCCTTTCCTTTTCCATAATCAAACTTCTTTTAGAACTCTCCCTGCTAGAACACAAGCTTCGCAAGGCAGAGATGGTTTTCTGTTTTGATACTGATACAACCCCAGTACCAGAACGATGCCTGCCATATAGTTGCTGTTCAATAAATATTTGTCGAGTATATCTATCAGAAGACAGAGCATTCATATATTTTCTCTCCAAGTGCCCATATCAGGAATGAGACTGGGAAGAGCAGGTCTCTGACATTATTCTCTTGGTTCTTCAATGTTGGAGTCAGAACCCCTGCGCTGTGGGTGCTACCTTCGCTTCCAGTGGGTTTCAGAAACCTGAGCCATTCTTCAGAAGACCTTTAAGGACGTGGAGGGAGCAGCCCTCATCAGTGCTCCGAGAGAGTAGCTCCAGATGGAGCGTTTAGCACAAGGCTCGGGATCCAGTTAACACTCGACTGCACTGCCACGAGCACTAATAAGGCCCGACGGCCCAATAGGCTGTCCCACGGTGAGGCTGTGTTGGGAAGAGGTTACCAGTAACAAGATTATTCTCTTGACGGTTAGCTTGGCGGGGGTCAGCAGTGCTGAAAGTAGAGTCTGGTCAAGGCAGAGGCGCAGGTGGAAATTCTGGGCTCCCAAGCCAGTTTCAAAAGGAGAACCACCTTCCCTTTTGGCTGGCTGCAGCAGTGAACAGTTTTCTGGAGACACAAAAGGTCCTCTTCCTTTTCTTTGGCCCTGCTCTCACACTGGCCCAAGCAAACTGAATGTATTAGCATAGTAGAACAGCTTTTATTGAGCACCTACTTATGTGGCCGGCGCCGTTCTCCCAGGAGGAGACGAAGAGGTGAGAGCCACATCAGAGAGGTATCATGAGGATGGAATTAAGTGAAATGAAATTAAATTAAACGATAAGGAATGTAAAGGTCTGGCTTCGAGTGAGCATTGGAGGGGGCTGAATTCCTTTCTTTGGCTTTTGGTGAGGGTAGTAACCTGGGGTGGAAGGCAGAGCATACTGGAAAAAGGCAAGTTGATTTTTAGTGTGTCTCAGTGGCAAAGCCTCTTAAGTGTTATAGGTTTCAGAGGAGGCAAGCGTCATTCGGCTAGACCGGTCAAGGGGACAAGAGTGGGCCCAGAGGCTGAGGAATATTTGGGTAAGGGGAGATGTCTGGAGGTGTATGGGTTGGGGCTGAAACCTATGTATTTTGTAGGGACAAAGGCACAGCTGTGGGTTGAAGTGTGAGCATTTGGGAGGTCTCCCAGGTAAAGCCTGGGACCAGGAAGGTGTGTGTGTGGGGGCCAGGCTGTGTGTGTGTGTACTATTTCTTTAAAAGTCACTTGCCTCTATGAACTACCTTCAATTATCATCTCCTTTTTCTAGCTGAGGAGATGGAGGCCCAGAGGGGGAACTTGTCCAAGGTTTCCCAGACTGGAGGAGGCAGAGTCTTGCATTCTAAAACTCATGCCTTTTCCCACAAACCAAACTGTCTCCAGTCTTTCTCTTGTCAGCTGCTAGCTCCTTTCTAGCCCATGTCCTCCCAGGGTGTGGGACTACAGTCCCTTTCTGGCAGTGGAATTCCTGCTGAGGAGCGCAGTGCACTTTGCTAGGTACCTGTGTCCCATCCCTTCACATGGTCCGTGCGACGGATGGTTGCACCTTCACTGAGACCAAACCAATGTCCGTGAAGATGTATAAGTATCTTGGGGCTGCTGTAACAAGTACTGCAAACTAAATGGCTTAAAAGAATAAAAATTTATTGTCTCACAGTTCTGGAATCAAGGTATTGGCAGGGCTACACTCACTCTGCAACCTGTAGGTGAGAATCCTGCTTTGATGCTTCCTAGCTTCTGGTCCTATTGTTGGCATTCCTTGCTTGCAAGGCCCTACTCCAATCTCAGCCTCTGTCTTCACAGGTGTGTCTCTTCTTATAAGGACTTCGATCATATTGAATTAGGGCCGACCCCAATGACCTCATCTTAACTTGATTTAACATCTGCAAAGGCCCTATTTCCATATAAAGTCACATTCACAGGTACTGGGGGTTGGGACTTCAACAGATCTTTCTAGGCAACAGAACTCGACCCATAACAGAGTACCTTCGTCAAAATCCCACTACTGCCTGGGAACCTCAAATTGGATTACATTTTGCATTTTAAAAATTTCAGCACTTTCTCAGAGTGGCTCCTTGCTTTTTTGCCCCTAGATTCTCTATATTCTTTCTCACCTCCTTGCTTGGTTTATCTAACTCACAGTTGGGATTATCCTCTTCCTTCATTTGTGCTGGGAAGTTTCTCCTTTACACTCAGCTAACTCTGCAAATCATCCTCCTCGACCTGAGTCCTGCTGGCAGCTTCTTTCTCTAAACCCCATAGCAATTTGAGTCATACAATACTTAGGTTGACTATTTTACAGTTTACTAATTCCTACTTACCACTTGGTCTTATTTGCCTAACTGGGTTATAATTTTCTGATTCTCAGCAATAGAGGCTAATCACAACTCTTGCTCCAGGGTTTAGCATAGGGTGAGCACACTCTAACTCTCCATGAGCCTTGCTGGGGGAATAGTATTCGTTTGTTTCAGATTCTGATTTTCTGTAAGGGTTCCTTGGATGAATACAACCACCCAGCCTAGTGACATGGAGGGCTGGGCAGTGATCTGGTAAGGCTGATGCTTACAGGAAGCCAAGCTTGGCCGGGCCCTGAATTCAGTACTTTTTCTCCTTTTGCAAGATTTGAATCATCTGGGTAATTGTCTTAACTTTCCACCTGACTTAGCCTGTGCCCACCCAGCCAAAATCACTAGAGGTTTGACTAATCTAAGGACTGATAGACTGGAAGCTAAACTGATTACAGACCTAAGCAGGCTCAACCGGAAAATCTAAGGGCCCCTTTGTTCCAGGTGTCCTCAGAGTGGCTCCGCCTCTGGGGCATCACATTGCAGGCTCTGCTCCTGGGGAGCAAGATGCTTCTCTTTCCTCCCCAAAGGCTGGCAGGAGCCACGGAACGGTCTTTCGGCCATGATGGCTTTAACCTTACTGACAGTACATCCTCTGTGGGGCCCTGGTGCTTCCTCCTTCTTCTTAAGCACCTCTCCCAAGACTTTCCAGGGATGGCAGTGGGGGCAGGACGGAACAGAGCCCATGTTCCCTTCCCTTTGTTTCTAGAAGTGACAGTCCCAATGTCCATGACACCCAAGAAAGTTAGCAAGAAATTGAGAATCTGAGAACTTTAGGCTGGATGATTTTGCCCAAATACGTCTTGTTTGAGGAGTGGAAAACTGAGGCCTCCAGAAATGAAGCTGTGTGCTGAAGACAAACTTTACAAAGATTAGGTGACAAATGTGAGATTAGGACCCAGGTCTTCTTCCATCCAGGCCAGGTCTGCTCTGCTCTCCCAGGTTGCCTTGGCCATCATGGAGCCAGGGACCCAGGCAGGGACTCTGCCCCACACAAGGAGTATGGGGGGGTGGGTGGTATTCTTCTGCATGTAGGATTCAACCCACTTGAGCTGGTCTCTGCTCCCCTTTCCAGCCTGAGCTTTACCTTTCTTCCCCTTGTTAACAAAACGGTAGCTGTCCTGGCCTCATTCCCACCTCTCCACCTCCAAGGCTTCACATACTGTTCTCACAGTCTGGAGCCAGATTTTGCCCACACTTCACCTGTATAATACCAACTTATTCTCTAATTCTCAGCTTAAATGTCACTGCCTCAGAGCAATCTTCTTGAGCTCTGTCATCTAAATAACACTCAGCATTAATTGCTTTCTTCTTCTTCTTTTTTTTTAGAGAGAGGGAGATTCTCTCTCTCCCTCTCCCTCTCCCTCTGCCCCTACCCACCCCCTCTCTCTCAGGGGCAGAGGGAGGGGCGAAGGGAGAGGGAGAGAGAGAATCTCAAGCAGACTCCACGCCCAGTGCAGAGCCCGACCTGGGACTCCATCTCACAACCCTGAGATCATGACCTGAGCTGAAACCAAGAGTCGGATGCTTAACCACCTGAGCCACCCAGGCACCCCTGCATTAACTGCTTTCATAGGACTATGCATTTTCTTTCAGAGACTTGTCTGTTTATTTGAAGTCTGTGCTCTCCTACCTCACCTAGTCTGCAAGGCTCATGAGGGCAGGGACCATGGCTGCCTTGTTAACTACCATATAATCTGGATCATGCACATGGTAGGTACTCTGCAGATATTTGCCAAATAAATGAATGAATGAATAAAATAAAAGACTGGCTTCTTGGATATGAGAGGGGCTGACCTGTCCACTTACTGGAGCTTTGTTATTGCTACCATGTTATATAGAACCTACTAAGTCACTGTTTAAGCAGGCTTGTGTTATGGGTCTTATATTCAAGCTTTTATATAAGGCAACTGAGGCTCAGAGAGGACAAGTAGCTTGCCTAAGGTCACCCACATTGTAAATGGCCATGCCTAGGTTAGAATGCAAGTTTGCCTGGCTCCAAAGCTGAATTTTGTTCATTATATTATTATTTATTATTATTATTATTATTATTATTATTATTTTGAGAGAGAGACAGAGAGACAGAGAGACAGAGAGAGCACATGAGCAGAGGGATGGGGGAACAGAGGAAGAGGGAGAGAGAGAATCTTAAGATTCTCTTAAGAGAATCTCCCTCTGACTCAGGGCTCGATCTCACAACCCTGAGATCATGACCTGAGCTGAAACCAAGAGTTGGATGCTTAACCAACTGAGCCACCCAGATGCTCCTGTTCATTATTTTATGAAGTTTCCTCTGTATATCAGAAACTTTCTCTGTCTATAAGGAATGTCACCATGCCCCTGTGTGCATCAGATAGTTCAGGCTTTGGCTTTCCAAAGATTGCACACCTTATCAGTGGAAGAGCAAGCTCTTGATAGAACTTTGCTGACTCTTAAGTCAGAGTTTTGCATTCCAGCTTCACACTCGGGCACCCCTTGGCTATGCACTCTATGGGGTTATTAGGCTCCTGGGCATGCACTAGCAGAACTCTGGCCTGTGTGGGGTGAAAAGAAGCCATTACAACACCCATTCACCATGAATCCTGTTTTTTATTTTATCCCTTGTAACTGAGAACAAAGCTCATTTCACCAAAATGTTCTGGTGCCAGGGGCCCAATGAAACTCCCGTTTTCAATCACTTGCACATAGTTAAGTGGAGACAGTTAGAACACTCTAATTACTGAGCTGGTCGGTCCTGCTGACTCCTGTAAGATATTTGGAGCAGTGCAGGAAGTAAGGCTTCCTTTCCAGTTTACATCACCATTTAATCTAATTATTCCTTCCAGTTTAGCTTTCACATATTCCATCAAAGAAGAGATTGCTCATTTCCTTGTGAAACTGTATACATCCACTGTAATGTGATTTTTTTTGCCTCTCATAAGTAATCTGAGATTTCCTAACCTTCTCCCCCTACTGTATTCTCTGGTTAATGTATAAACTTGGGAGAAGTTTCTTGACAGAGAAGTCAAGAGGGTCTCACCTGGGGGAATAGTATTTACATTTCAGAGAATTTGAGAGCTCAAAGGGGCCTTTCATGTCCTCAGCTGCATTAAGTCCTTCGTCTTCTAGCTAAGGAAACTGAGGCCCCAACAGGGGAAGCCAATCCCTTGTTGAACTATTCCTGAGCTCCTGCTATGTGTGAGATTCCAGGAAAAAGTAGCCCTTTCCCCTAGACCAAACCCCTGCCCTCAAGGAGCTTGTGTCCAGAGGAGAAGAGAGAAATGACTGTCATTGAAAATAATTAATGAATCTCAAATGCACAAAGTAATGTATAAAAGAAGTACAGGGTTTTTTTTTCAATTAAATTACAAAAATTTTATGGAAAATTCCCCGAGTGATGCTTAAAATGAATTGTAAAGAGTGAAAAAGCTTTCACTATGTAAAGAGTGGAGAAAGAGCATTCCAGGTGGAAGGAACAAGCGTATGGTTATGGCAATGGAGAGATGTCTGGAACATCTGGAGTGGGCAGATGAAGAGAGAATGCAGACAAAGAAGAAGTGAGAGTCAGGTGAGGGCCAGTCTCTGGTGGAGCCTGTATTAAGAATATCTTCTTGAGGTCATGTGTGGATACACTGTTTGCCCTTCTAAATCCACCCTCCACCCTTCTGTCCTGTGCTTTGTGCCCTAGGAGGCTGTCCTCTCCTTGCCCTCTGACTTCTGGTTGGGTTTGCCCCATAGGTGGCACCAGGGGAAATGAGAGTATGTGAGGAGAGAGGTTGGGGTATCATTCTCTGGGCTGCTTCCCGGCTGGGGGGTAGGCTAGCAAGACGTGCTATGGAAGACCACAATGAGGTGGTCATCTCCTATAGGTTTCCCTTCACATGTCCCTTTAGGCTTAGGGATGGTAACATACTCTGCTCTTGCCAGTTTCAGGTCACTTCTGGTCTCTTGTTAGACTCGCCCTCTCCTGCCCTGCCTCATGATGAATAGTCCCTTCATTAAACTCCCTTCAGTGACTCCATTGGAGTTTTCCATCTGTTTCCTGCAGGGTCCTTTAAGAAGGCTCCCACTCCAAAGGGCAGCCTTCAATGGAGAAGGCCCTCAAAGTGAGGACATCAGTGATGTGCATAAGTGGCTGTAGGTGCTAAGGGTCAGATAGAGGGAGAGATAGCTGGGGGCCTAGCAGAGGATCCTCTGAAACCTCACAACTGTGCCCATGACAAAGTAAGGCATCTCTCAACACCTGGCAGGCCCAGAGATCTCAAAGCTGTCTTATGAAGGTACCTATCAAGGAGGAACTTTCCTACACATTCCCTCTACCCCGATTTCCCAGCCCTGTGCTCCAACCACTGAGGGGCCAGAAGTCAGGATAAGCAAGCTCAGGGAGGAGACGGAGGGAGAGAGACCAAACCAGGGGCACCCATTGTGTGGAGGCATGCCACCCACCTGCTACAGCCGACCCAGTAGATTGAAGTACTGACTGATATATTGGCATCTCAAAGTTGAGTTGTTGTCTGAGTTGTCAGAAAAGTCATAGAATTGTCTGAGTTTTCCACCAGGTATGGGGGAATGACTTTAACTCCTACCAAACAAATTTATAGGGATTGTTGGAAATCAAACACGCCATGAGTGCTTTTAGGATTACTCTCCATGTAATCTCCATGTATGTCTTCACATATTGGTCTTATGATTTTAGGAAATGCCACAAACTAAAACCCTATTTCACTGTGTTGGGCTTGCTAGACCATGAAACTCTTTTTTTGAGTAACTCTTAGGTAACTGATGTTCCTTGCAATATGCTTTGGAAAATATTGCTTCTGATACCAAATACGCAAGTAAGTAAGTAAAAATAATTTTTTTTTCTTCTTAGGGAGAACATTGGAATAGCTGCTATGATGAAGCTCAGGCTGCTATGAGGAAGCAGTCTACCCCATGGTACGATTTTATCCTAACAATATAGTTGTAAATAAAAAATTGATGCAGAGACCAGAAAGTTATAAAAAATCATCAGAGAACATTTTGCATACTTGCCATGTTATAGAAATAGTTAAGTTACACTAATAATGTGGATGCTTTGTATTCCTTTAATGAGCTCTGAGACCCCACAGCTCATGGAGAGTCCTGGGAGGGGCCTACTGGGCATTAAAGGGAGGGTGTTAAAAGAATAATGAGTATTTGTCTACCATGTAGTAGCCATCCACATGAAATACTGTGGACTTTGCTTTTATAAAGTCATGTCATAATTTTATAATTGATTTAAAATACTTGCTAGAATCATGGCAATAAAGCAATAAATGAAAGCTAGGAAGAAAAAAATACGAGGCAAAAACTTGCCCTAGAGGGCCTTGATATTCACGTTTTTTGTTACTTTTTTTACTTCAAGTTTTTATTTAAATTCTAGTTACTTAACACATATGGTAAAATTGGTTTCAGGTGTAGAATTTAGTGATTCATCACTTACATAGAACACCCAGTGCTCATCACAACAAGTGGCCCCCTTAATACCCATCACCCATCTAACCCATATCTTGCCCACCTTCCTACTTCCCTCCATCAACCATCAGTTTGTTCTCTGTAGTTAAGAGTCTCTCATGATTTGCTTCCCTCTCTCTTTTTTCTCCCTCCCCTATGTTCATCTGTTTTCTTTCTTCTTTCTTTCTAAAGATTTTATTCATTTATTTAGAGAGAGAGTGCACGCGAGAGGGAGCTGGGCCAGAGGGAGAGGGGGAGAGAGAATCTCAAGCAGACTCTGCGCTGAGCACAGAGCCCGATGCAAGGCTTGACCCAACAACCCCAAGATCATGACCTGAGCTGAAACCAAGAGTCGGACGCTCAACCAAGCCACCCAGGCGCCCCTTCCTGTTTTGTTTCTTAAATTCCACATATAGGAGTGAAATCCTATGGTATTCGTCTTTCTCTGACTGACTTATTTCATGAAATTCCCCTTTGTATGAGTAATGACAGGCTGACAGGCAGGCCTTTGTAGACCCTTCATGTAATCCCTCAGACTTCCATTGTTTACATTTTTTACCCTCAAAGAATCAAATATTGAAGTTATGGGTGCTAGTGTAACAACCACCACAGAGAAGGTGTTCACAACCTATTTGCTGAATGAATGATTCAGCCAGCACCTTCCTCTTACAGAGAGGACATGGACACTGTTGTGCCATTTCTGTCCTTTCTCTGCTTGGCTTCATGCTGGGGACTTTATAGACTTTAAGTCTAAACGTCACAAAATCTCTGTGAGGCAGGAGTTAAGATTCTTATTGTGTGGATAAGAAGGCTGAGGCCCAGAGAAGTCACACAGCTGGGACTTACCTCCCCACCAATGTAAAAGTAAAATGTAGTAAAATGTACCTGTTCTTGGGTTTGTTGGACTGTTGCACATTTAGCCTAAGACAGGAACCATAAAGCATAGAGGAGACCCATGGTACCTTCCTAAAAAGCTTTGAATGTGAGAGTTTTGGGCCCAATGGCTCTGACCACTTTAGGAAACCAAGTATAATACTTGACAGGCATTTCCCAGGCTATGAGGTTACAAGATGCTGGAAAGGAGGCCTTAGAATTGAGAGAACAAAGTAAACAGAGAATGATACATATTCCAATATTTGACAGTATTATGAAATAGGGGGGTTTGCCTTTGGCACCCCTTCATCACCCTTTATTGCCTTCAGAATCCAAAGAGCTAGACATTTAATGGCAGGATTCTGGATATTTTTTCCTGGGCGAGATTCAAAGCATTGTTTCGGGTATTCAATCTGCTTCCTTCTTATGAGCATGGCTTTTGGCATTCCTGTGAGGTTGCCAAGTTCATCTTCCCATTTAGTAAAAGACTCAATTTCTATGGTCTAGTCTTATTTTACAAAAACACACCTCAAGGCTTGGAGAACGAAGCTGAGCCAAGGTGGGGGCCAGCTGCGTTCTCCTGTGACCTTCAGGCTATGTGTTCCTGATTCCTTTCTTTTTTTTTTTGAAAGATATTATTTATTTATTTGAGAGAGAGTGAGAGCCAGAGAGATCACGGAGGGAGAGGGAGAGGGAGAAGCAGACTTGCCACTGAGCAGAGAGCCCGATGTGGGGCTCGATCCCAGGACTCTGAGATCATGACCTGAGCCGAAGGCAGACGCTAAACTGACTGAGCCTCCCAGGTGCCCCAATGCATTCCTGATTCTTGGGGAATGCCATCACTCATATTTTTCTTCCTTTACTCAGGTACACTGGGAGTGTTTCTTTCTTTTATTTTTTTGGGGGGATATTTCTTTAAATGAAGCTTATTTAAACAGATCATGTTTACAGTGTCTCCCTCCTCCATTACCAGTTCTGACCTCATCTCATACTATGTTCTCCCCATTCGCTCTGTTCCAGCCACATGGCCTCCTTGGTGTTCCTGGGGTGTACTAAGCAGGCTTTACCTTAGCCTTTACACTGGCTGTTCCCTCTTCCCCAACACACCTGCACAGCTTAGCCCTCACCTCCCTCAGCATCTGACTCCAATGTCAACTTTTTAAAGATTTTATTTATTTATTTGACAGAGACAGAGATAGCGAGAGCAGGAACACAAGCAGCGGGAGGGGGAGAGGGAGAAGC